GCCGTTGGACTAGGGGTTCCAAGGGTAGCCACCGCACTACAATCATCATCGAGCGAGGTTTCTGCTTTCTGTTGGAGCTGATGCCGACACTAACCGCGGGAATCGAATATTGGAGTACTAACCACATATAATATGGACTCGGTTAGCTACACCTCTTCCCTCAGTCTCTTATCTTGGACTGAGGGTATGTCGTTCATTCTCTCCCCGCCCGCACATACACTAACATGTATCTTAGTCTGACTGTGTCATCTGGTTAGTGTAGGGGGCAGAAGTATTTTGGGGCAAGTTCTGCCAAAAAAATGGTAGAATGGCAATTGGCAGAATGGCAAAAGTCAGCAGAATTGTTTTGAGGGTTTCTGTGTGTTCTAAGATAACGGCAAAAAATTATCTAAGCTATTGCATGGATGCTACACCCTCTGACATCAACAGTGCATTGATGTTCCAGCCTGCCTCCATGCCTTGTGACCCACGGCCAACCACATCAATCTCTTTGACAAACCCTGCAGGTGTAATTCCTTTATCAACTTTCTCCAGCTCATCCTAATCAATAATATCTCCCTTGAAAATATCTGGGATTTCGCCAGTACCTTCTTGCAAGCCTTGTGACTCCAGCATCTTGTTTTCAAACCTGTCAAATTCTTTGAGCAGCTCCTCATCTGTAATTGACTCAGGACCTGTGAGAAATTCATCATCTGAGTTGTGAGAGGCACCAGCAAGTGGTGGCACCCATGCAAATGACCTTTGAAGTTTGTCTGCCAAGGCTATGTTGAGTCCATGCTCTGGCCAAGTGTGCATATGGGTGTGTTTGCGACATGCTGGCTTGCCAGCTTTGTGATCCACCTTGTGCAAGAAATTTGCATAGCTTGCCTGGAGTTTGCTCAGAGACTCAAAAGTCTGAACTGATAGGTTGCAGCACTTCACAGATTGTACCCCACCCAGACCCAAGAAATAATGCTTGACATCAGCAGCATGAGGTACAATTGAGTGGATTATGATTGCGAATGCCTTCAATGGACAGCACTCAGCACTGATGGGGAGGGTTTCCCACCAATTGAGTAGGGCAGCCCATAGACTTTTTCAAGGACATATTGGTGTGCACGGAGGCTCAGATACACTTATTTGAAGTCAAACATATTCTATTTGATGATAATACAAATAAGATTCATGTTGACTTCTGCCAACTTCTGTCCAATGCCCTTGACCTACTGCTGGCAATTGCCATTGGCAGAATGGCAGACTTCTGCCAACAACACTATGTCTGGTTCTAAAACTTTCCTACTTCATCAGCAAAACCCTGATTTGGGTACAGTGCCACAGCCACACAGCCACACAGTGTGCCACAGGTCACATAGATTTTGTTGTAAAGGTTCTGCAGCACCACACAAGTATTGATTCTATGTAAAAATGAGTGTAATGTTGTTATAAACATGTACTAGCTTCACACCCATTGTGCCTTCAGCACAGGAAGCAAATGGAGTGCTTCGCACTCCTTTTCGGCTTCCTGGCTTTGGCTGCATCCTAGCATGTGCAATAAATAATTGATGAAAAATTGAATGAGAGCACAGGGGAATGGGGGAACAGACCAAAAGTGCTTGCTCCACTCACACCTTTGGCCCATTCCCCCATTTCCCTGTGCTCTCATTCAATTTTTCATCAATTATTTATTGACATGTGCTGCACTCGAACAGGCAACAGTATTGAGTTGGAGCTTGAAAACCCATGACCAATACAAATGGGCAACAGTATTAAGTTGGTGCTTGAAAACATGTGACAAAACCACACAAGATTTCCTAAAAGAAATCAACTGAGTTAACTGAACTAAGTGTTCCTTAGCAAAAGCCATGCAAGCTAGTGAGACGATTCCCACCCATCACATCCTACTTTAGAGATGTAACAAGATGGTGTGCTAATAATTATGTTTTATTGAGAAATTGTGTAGTGTGCAGCACTGTACAGCACTGTACATGGGGGGACCTCGCTGTGACACTGATTGCTGTGCAGCATTGTGCAGTGCTGCACATAGGGTTAGGGTTTTGCTGATGTTCATTGTGGTGAGCAGAGTGAGTTTGAACTAGTCCTAGTCATTTCAGTGCTCAGCATCAGCAGTCTCAGCTCTTGGTTCTCAGCCTTTAGTTCTCAGCCAAATGCAAACTGAAATGTGTTCATTTACAAAGAACACATTGACAAGGCAAAGTGAACTCCATTTTATGTCATGTTATGCCTAGAAAGGCTAAGCTAGATGGCAGGTGTCTTTACCAGACACCTGTGCAGTTCATAAAAGGGCTGTATCAAGTCATTTATGTGGATTCTTGTCAGAAACTGATGACTGGTCAGCCCATACTGCAGTCTGCTATATAGATATATCCTAAGTGGACTATAGTCCTAAAAGTCCAATACATCTTTAAGTCTAGTTATCCACCCAGCTGGGATATATCCATTCTCACCGGATATCACAGCCGCATTTTTCGCATTTTTGAAACTCAGCTATTTTTCAAATGTCAGGATACAGTGGCTCAAAAAACTGTCCGCATGTTTTGACATTTTTCACTATCTATGATATTGTGTGAGAACAAACAAATGCCTCAAGGACATGGTTATACCACATTGTAGTATGGCTTCAGGGCTTTCATTTGAGCCCTACACCGTGGGAATCGGTGGAGATATGGTGGAGACATAAGGCTTACAAAATCATGACTCATGCGGACAGTTTTTTGAGCACATATTAAAACTATATAAATCATCATTTATGACACCATAACAATCATGCCACCATTAAATAAATTATAAAGTGGTGTCATTATGTCATTTTAAAACCATATCTAACTATACAAACCAAAAATTTCCATATGTCATGGTTATATTCACCATGAAAGCCACCCCCCCTGCTCAAAGGGATAATATCCTCTCTCTTTCCTATTCTGGCCTCTCTGCTTGTCAAATTTCCTCTAGAACTGGAGTATGCAAGTCCACTGTGGCCAAGTTCATCAAAGAAAGTCACACAGACAAGGAAAACTTCTGTGAAGGGCGTCCATCCAAGCTCACCTCTACTGATAGGAGGGCTATTATTCAACATATCACTACAGGAAAGGCTGATAATGCTGTCCAGGCCACCTATTACATCAATTCCACCATCACATTCCCTGTCTCTTCACACACTGTGAGAAACATTCTCAAGACAGCTCATCTCAGGTCAGTAACAAGGAAGAAAAGGCTTTCTTCTCTATCACACATAAACAGAGATGACTAACCTTTGCCTTAGCCCATCAGAATTGGATTACATGGACTGGAAGCATGTTATATGATCATATAAGACCACAATAAATAGGATTGGGTCAGATGGCAAGGTATATATGTGAAAAAAGAAGGGTGCTAGTCCTCTCTGCATATGTATGATAGAGAGGAGAGCCTTTTCTTCCTTGTTACTGACCTGAGATGAGCTGTCTTGAGAATGTTTCTCACAGTGTGTGAAGAGACAGGGAATGTGATGGTGGAATTGATGTAATAGGTGGCCTGGACAGCATTATCAGCCTTTCCTGTAGTGATATGTTGAATAATAGCCCTCCTATCAGTAGAGGTGAGCTTGGATGGACGCCCTTCACAGAAGTTTTCCTTGTCTGTGTGACTTTCTTTGATGAACTTGGCCACAGTGGACTTGCATACTCCAGTTCTAGAGGAAATTTGACAAGCAGAGAGGCCAGAATAGGAAAGAGAGAGGATATTATCCCTTTGAGCAGGGGGGGTGGCTTTCATAGTGAATATAACCATGACATATGGAAATTTTTGGTTTGTATAGTTAGATATGGTTTTAAAATGACATAATGACACCACTTTATAATTTATTTAATGGTGGCATGATTGTTATGGTGTCATAAATGATGATTTATATAGTTTTAATATGTGCTCAAAAAACTGTCCGCATGAGTCATGATTTTGTAAGCCTTGTATCTCCACCATATCTCCTCTGATTCTCACAATGTGGTGCTCAATCCAAAGCCCTGAAGCAGCACTACAATATGGTATTAGCATGTCACTGAGGTCTTTATGTATTCTTACACAATATTGTAAATAGTAAAAAATGCAAAAACATGTGGGCAGTTTTTTGAGCCACTGTATATCAACTCATCTGCTTTTAGTACACTCCTTGACAATAGGCGTGCACTCCTCCCACGACCTGCACTCCCATTTAGCTTCAGTCCAGTCCTAGGAATCCATCCTCCCATGTCCTATCCATGTCCACCTATCTCTGCTGGTGCATTATTTTTCCCAAATATCATTGCTAAATGAGCTGCAGGTCTTATTACATGTTGCTCATGTCCTGCAGCACATGATGTCTTATTACCTATAGACTTGTCACACACTTGCTTACTACACTACAATTCTTGCCTATGCATTCCAGACCTTCACATGCTATGATAAAATGACCACAGTACATATGATTGAGTTAGTTCCTTTTCCCCTGGACTCAGCCCTATAGGAGAGTCGCTCTCGCGTTATTTTTGTAGACCTTGTGCAATCCAATCTGTTTGCTCATACTTGACAATCTTGTGCAATTTGACCACTCTGAAGTTCCATACTGCTAGGACCTTATACTTAGGCTCTTGAACACCTGACCCATGACTGGTAACTTATTGCAGTCCTTCTCTCACACTATCTCTCTTGCATCCAGCTGCTCTATCGAGTGTGGTTGATTTTGTGTGTGTTATATCTACTGCACTGGTATCTGGCATTCGTTTCACTTGCACATATCCTTTAGTATTCATCTCGCACTTGTGATACTAACACCGGTCAATTCTCCGACATAGGAATTTGAAGGTATACATACATCCCGCGCTCTAGTTTCTTAGGCCACTATAGATTTTAACTCCTTTGCTCACTTGCTTCCCTTGCATATATTTGAAGGAGGTGCTTCAATAGCAGTCCTCTCAGGCCAATCTACTGACTCATGCCTCTTAGGATAAGTAGTGCTTGAAAGAGAAGGTCAGAAGGTAAACTGTTGTTGTGTAGAATATCCATTGGGAACTGGTCTTTAAATTCTTCCTTGACTGCTGCATCTCGTAGTCAAAGGCTCTCCTCAGTTGCTAATGTAGTGATATGTTCACAAACTGCAGCGATGAGGTTGATTCCATTCACCTCATCACAGGAGTCATCCACCAGTGTTTTATACTCAGGAAGTATGTGCTTCAGTTCGCATATGATATCCAGTCTCATCTCATGCATTTGTGGTGGTAAGGGGACAAGTAAAGGTTTGGCAGGCATAACAGGGCACAGTAGGTTGTAGTTCATATCTTTCACCAAACAAGTATGATTCTCATGGTCAATGGTGATTTTGTTGTGGTGTAAGAATGGACCACCCAAAAGAAGTGGAGTACAAAGGTTTGGCGCCATGATGGCATGTACAGTGCAGGAAGTATAACAAGAATCAAGAGAAGTACATGCAAGTTTGACATAGTCTAACAAGAGAAATGCTTCCTTCTTATTTCCAGAGAGTGTGATGTTGAATGGTACAGACTTTGGTAGTTTGTGTACACACAGGCCAAGTTTGAGTGTGAGAGACTCATCAATCAGAACTGCAGCAGAACCATCATCGATAAGCACCAAGACATGTATAGGAGATGAAACAGTGGGACCATCCACAAGGCAGTCCCAGTGTAGAAGAGGAGTGGTTAGTGGGGCGACACACTTGTTGCTGTCTGTTCCATCTCCCAATGCCACAGACAGTATTACCACTGCCACTGTGTTCTCTGTATCTACCAACACAATGGTATGAGACATCTTCTTGCCCTTCTTAGTAGTGATGGCTGCTAGTGTGATGGTTTTGTAAGTCACACTGTCTGGGAAGCCTTTGTTGCAAGTAGCTGATGTATGACCTGCAAAGGGTTCTCTACACTTAAAGCAACTGTTGTTATCCCTCAGCAAGGTGCATTCCTCATCAGTGAGGGGTGGTATGCACATGAATGTACCCGTTTTCCTAGTAGTATTACGACCTGCCTTCATGTTGTATTGAGAGGATGATGTCAGCCTCTTGTCTCCATTGCAAGCGCACTCAGCACAGAGTGCAGCTTCCACTGCCTCATTCTGTTTGTTGAGCAGGTGCAGGTGCTTCTTGTCCAACAGCCTGACTTTCTCAATTCAAGGACAAAAATCTTCAATTTCCAAGATCCCCTCAGAACAGTATTTGTTGACCAGATCTGCATGCATGTGTGCTTCAAGGTGATAATGTAGGTCAGTTTCTGAAAGGTGCAATGTGGTGCCATGGAGGAGTGTGTTGAGTGTCTGTACTTCTACAGCCCACTCATTGAATGGTTTGTCGCCTTGGTTCAAGGACAACATCTTATGATGTGTAATGTTCGCCCAGTCCAATGGGAGCCAGTATATGTGGACTTCTGCCATGTAGTCTTCAAAGGTTAGCCTATTTATGCACTCTTGGTCATTGAGGTACAACTCCTGAATGGAAGGTTCCTGCATACCCCACACTACCTTACCCACTTGTTCCTCAGCTGCAACTTCCTTGTGTTTGATGAATTGGCGACATCCCATCTCCCAGTTTTGAAGTACTTCCAGGGTAATGTCTCCAGGTGTCAGGAATGGTGGTTTGGTAGGTGCCGACTGGTCAACATGGGCATTCTTGCTTGTGTTTGAGATTGTCATCTGGCTATATGCACATAGGTGGTCTGAGTTGGAGTCTGAATCTGTGACATGACCATTAGCACGTGAGTACCAGCAGTTATTTTGTTGCATAGATCAAGGCAATGATTCTGTTAACTCCATTAGAGTCAACAGTGGTGTGGACTGTTGTTGCCTGTTATGGCTACACATAGTCAACAGTTGAGCAACAGTTGGTCTGGAATGGTAGTACAACAGTTTGGAAAGGTGTGGTAATGAGAATTGGTATAATGGTAGTGCATTCTAGATACACTTAAAGGACATTTAAAAAAAGTGGAAACTACCCAAGGGTAGAAACACTAAGTTCAAGATCAGACAGCGGTAAATGTGTAGAAGCATATGATTGAACAGGAATAAGAAAAGATACCGGTACATGATCTAGGTGTCCAGTATAAATATGTGTTAGGACAAACAAGGGTAAATAAGGTGCAGTGTCCAATCAGCATGATGTCATATAAGCATAGGCATGCTTACATGTTACTGTAGTGAGCTGGCAAATAGGGACCAAACTGTACATCTGGCACGCTGTACAGCTCTATACAGAACCTAGTGATTTAAAGCTAGTACAGTAACTGAAGTTCAGCTGCCATAGCCAACTTCAGATGTCTCAGCTCGCATCGAGCCGAGATGGAGCTTGAACCTTCTTGACCTCTTGCAATGACCTCACTCCAGTGGCATGTGCCTCATAACCTCAATCTGTGGGAGCAGCACAGGCAAATCATACCAATTATAATTGGAATTATCATTACTATCCACTACCAACTATTTCTCATGTCTCAAGAGTCAAAGCCCAAGAAGGCTCTGAAGGTGATCTGGAATGATGCAGAGACAGATGCCCTTATCACATACCTCCACACAGAACGTTCAAAAATAGGAGACAGCAGGAATTTCAAACCACAGGTTTACAATGACACTGCAACTGCCATCGCAGTGCACTTGACCCTTGGCCCAATAAAGACTGGAGGCCATTGTAAGACCAAATGGCAATCAGTATGCTATTGATCTATCTATCTAGTAACAGCTACTGATCTTGAGATCCCTAGTTGAAGACCATTTACCATGTTATTGAAAACTACTGCCTTCACACATCTGGCACTCACTGGGATAATCAGATCGGAGCTGGTATTGAGGGGAAGGCTGCGAGTGACGTATGGGATGCATATATGGAGAAGAAGGTCAGTTGGTATCACCATCTACAGCTGTTACTTATGCTTGAGTCACTGTAGGCCAACCATGTCATGCATCCTTACAGAAACACTGGATGGACCTATTATGCTCAAGAGATTATGCCAAGTGGCAGTGGCGCTCAAGGTCATGCTGCCTATTGCCCATCTAGGGCTGCAGCACCTGCCCTTGTAGACGACTCATCTGACCAGGGTTCTGCAGCTCACATGGATGCCAATGTTGTTGCTGGGCCTGCAGTGGATGCTCACATGGGTGAACTTGAGGCTGAAGAAGAGGTTGGTTGGGGCCATGTGCTGCATGATAATACTGTGATTGCTGGAAGTTCTGAAGTTGCTGCTGCTCCACTTTCTCTACCTTCTCTCTCTACTAGGACACCGAGCACTGGGAAACAGACCCATTCAGACATGACTGGCACAGATGCACAATCTCTTGCACCTCCTCCATCCACAACATTCACATCAGTATCACAGCAAGAGTCAGAGTCGAAGAAAGCCAAGGTCTCCAGCCATGGTGGTGTTGCACACATCAAACCTCAACCTGAGGCTAGCACTAGTAAGGTCATCAAACCCACAAATGCTGTCACAATGATAGGCATGCAAGGCACCCTCAACCGCCTCACTGATACGTTAGTGACACAGATGGTTGCCACTGACAAGAGCCAGACAACTGATGAGCAAAAGCTCACCATTCATATCCTGCAGGAACAAGATGCTGACCTGTCACTGGAGGATAAAGTGGCACTGATGAATATATTTGTGAGAAGCAATGGAGTTACTAGCTTTTACATTGAAACCACAGATCCCACTTTGCAATGTGCTTTTGTTCACTCTGTCATCCAGCAATTTGCCAGCATGTAGTTCAAGTCTTTCCAAGCATCATATCACGTACAATAAGCACAGTTCTCATTTGTAGTCACTACATGTACAGTACTACAATTCATCATCATTGTCAAGAATGTCATTGTCAATGTCAACTACAGAAAAGTCATCTAAAACACCTCATTCAGCTAAAATTAACTGGTAATCATCCCACATTTTCTGCGTGATATGGTCCTGTAGTACATTCGCATCATTGATGACCTCAAGCCGCCCTGCCACTGGCATGTCAGCAGGCTGCCCTTGATATTCTGGGTTGTCATTGTCAAAATTGATGCATCTCTCAGGAAGAAGGCCTTCCTTGAGATCGTGAGTGCAAATGAAGTTGTGGATAGCGCATAGCGCAGCGGGAATGCATGCTTGAACCTCCATCTTGTACTCAGGTGACAAGAGGAGGATATGAAAGCGCCATTTTAGTATGCCAAATATTCTTTCAATAACGTTCCATGTGGAGGTGTGGCTAAGGTTATATAGTTCCTGTTTATTGGCAGGTCTATTGACCATTAGAATCAAAAACACTACAAAGAAAAATAAAAATGCACCTTATGCTGGCACAGCCCCATTCTGCAAGATGATATCAGACACCACGGTAAGGGACAAGGAGCTCCTTGCAGGACAGGAACCCAGCATCACCAAGGAGATACTTTTGATGGGGAATGTCTAAGTCATCTGAACAAGCCTCCTCCCATAGATGTGCATCTGTCACTGAACCCTCCCAGCCAGTCTCTGTGTGAATAAACTTGAGGTCCCAGTCACAGGCGAACAGACAATTTTGAGATATGAAGCCCTTTTGATTGCAGTAGAATGTATGATCACATGAAGGGGGGGACACATGAATATGGCTGCCATCTATGGCACCAATAGCACCTTTGAAGTAGGGCCAGAACTTTGGGTCATTGCAAATCTTGTCAGGGATGACACTGCCATCCAGAAAGTGTACATGTGTTGAATAAAATGGAGGGGATGCAAAAATAAACAATATTTTGCAAAAGTACCTGATACAATGTCAAGGCTGACTGTTATTGATAGATCCAAGACTTACTTTGAAACTGTATCACTGGATCTTTGGAACCACTCTCCAATGTGTCTGATTGTCAGACCAGTGACACAAGTATATAGAAAAATGGCCAATTGTTCTTCCAGTGAGACATAGTGAGAGTTACCATGACCAAGACCACCAAGCTCCTCAATCAGCTTCTCGAAGACATGTGTATGTATGCTGAGTTCACAGCGGATGCGCTGAGGATGGCCAACAATCAATTCCATCAGCCATTCTTCACCCTTGAGTGCCGATGTGTGATATGGTTCAGGGTCTTTTAGTAATCCAGTTTGTATAAACGATTCAGTTGTAGCAATAATGATACTGATCATGAGGATCACATATCAAGTAAGTCGTTCACGGACCACTGATGCAGCGGATTTTGCCCGATCCAATGGTAGAATGAATCAACTGAGTAACGGGTCAGAAATCAACGGTCTATTGAATGAATGGTTGAGGGGTAATGGAACCATGTTGCGATACACAGTGAGCTCATCACAATCAGTCAATGATGCCGACTGGCACATTGAAACTCAGTCACCGGCTTCCGCCGAGAAAACACATATGAAGTTGGCTACGGCGGCTGAACTTCAGTTACCGTACTAGCTCTTACTGATGTCACTGATAGTTAGCCTGGTTTAATGCAATACAATGACACTATAGCCTGGACTTATAGTACATATTGCCAGGGCCCAGCAGCTGGCGCTCGTTGCATCACAAAAACATCCGCTAAATACGTTGGACTCATAATTAAATACATCTCTGACGATGCACATCAAGTGCAATTGATACCCAAGTCTTCAGCAATGATCATTGCAGCCCGCTCTCCGATGAGAAGTGCCGTCGAATACGTGTTCTGTGTATCATATCGTTAGACCACACATCAATAATCCCCTGTTCAGTACCCACCGTGCCAACGTTCAACGGCACAATGGACATATCTGCGACCTTTAGGTTCGACACGCCGTACACATTTAGCCGAGCGTCGACGACTCCTTGATCTGCCTCCGATTTCATGGCACAAGTCCCAAGCTACATAAACAGAGATCAGATATGAAATTATGAAAGGTTCAGCTGCACACACCGAGTGCCATGCCGTTTGCACTGATGTTCGATTCAGTATTTTACCGTGGCAATGGAGATGGCAAATCAGGACTTACCGATGTCGCGGTGGAACTGACTGATCGCCTCGTCATCTTCGGCAGTGTAGACGATGTCAGGCGCATTCAAGTCCACCGGCCCGGAAGCTTCTCTGCAGGCTGCAGCGCTTCCCTCTGGGAAATCAGGATGGCCAGCAGCGACTTCACCTCGATAGGAAGCCATGCGTCGAAAAACTTCGCGCGTCTTCTTGTATCCGAAGTCAAGAGGAACAATATCGGATGGACTGTGCGGAGTGTCATGGTCACGCAAGTGCCCTAAAATGATGTGCGTCCACTCACTCGTCTAGGAAGCCTGTAGTAAAGTCCATTCCTTCTTTGCCATCCTCCGTCACCTTGACATGAACGCTTCCAATAGACACAGGGTAAAGCTATTGAAGGGATTCAATAAAAAACAAGGGGTAGACGGAGAGCAGTACTGTATAATAACCGGCACTCATGTAGTTGCGAGGAGGAAGGACACTCGAGAGCGGCCTCGAGAGCGGTGGATTATATCTGGCTGTCATAAGCATTGCCATTTCATCAAAGCCAAGCAATATGCACACACCCTGAAGAGGCAGAGAATATTGCAACAACCTTGTCTGGGCGGTCCTGGAAGAACTCCTTCCAGCGTGGTTGAAAAGCTGGATTCATGGCCTTTAATTCCTCGTCATCAGGACGCCACTTGATTTTTGAATCGAGGCCACTGAGATACCAATCAGCACGGCACCGGCAGTGATAACTTGTACCAACTTTTGTGCAATCAATGACTTGCCGCTGCTGTTCCATTGTGCAAGGCTTTCTATATTTGGGTAGTTGTAAGGTGCTGCAATCGTGGCGAGAAAACATGCTCACCCTCTAGGATACTCTCCCCACGCCAGAGGGCGTCCATGGTAACAGCATCGTCGGCAGCCAAGTATGGAACAAGGACGAGATTGTGATCTGACCGTCTTAAGCCAAGCTCTTAGAATAAACTAAAAGCGCACCTTGATAATTTTCTCCGACGCCAGGTAAATCCACTCGTTGCTCGATACCGCACCGCTTGAGGATTGCTTCGGCACCAATCCCAGACCTCTCCAGAATGGTTGGGGAACCGAACGCCCCAGCAGAGACAACAATAAGTTTCGATGCTCTCACAATACTCGACGGCTGATCCGCGTCTGGGCAAGACACCGGGTCGCTGGTGAACTCGACACCTACAGCACGCTTGCCCCTTTCATTTGGAAAAGCCGTCAACAGTTTGCTACGATCCCAGGTGGCAACTTACTCGAAAATGATACGCTTTACACGCTTTCCGTCCCAGACTTGTAAATTTGAGTTGTGAGCTTGGTTGTAGACATAGTGGTGAGCCGCGTCCGAACGCCTTCCGGTTGTCCCATCAATATACCTTTTATATATGAGTCAAACACTTGCATACGAGTAGCTTAGGAGTACAGGAACTCACTTTCGCCATGGCTGAGACAGATCTGGTTAGTGGTCGCAGTTAGGAAAGGAAGATCATAGCGTACACTGTATGTATTGCATGTTTCCAGATCATCGGTGTCATCGGCATACTGCCTCTTGTGATAGGTCGTGCCAACCTGGATGAACTCGTCAGAGATACCCATTTTATACCCACCGGAAGAAACTTTGATAGGTCCGTTATAGCCATGGGTTGAAAGATCGGGCTGCACCTCATATGTCTCCAGCTATAAAGTGAACGTATAAGTAACAGATATACTGAAAACGTATTCGAGACCTTCTTCATGAGGGGAATCAAACTCTCAG